AACTCGTTTGTTCTTGATGACTCACATCTGGGGTACAATAAAAAATTATAGAAAAATATTTAGTCTCTTTAATAATATTTATAATAAAACTTTTAACACATTGGGCCAAAATAGAAACTAACTCATTTTAAATTTTGTGACCAAGATAATGATGATAAATTTCATGATTTTGAATACGTCTAATATGATCTTGCATTATCAAATCAAATTCTGTAATCATCTCAATCAATCCCAAATAATTACCATTATTATCATAGTAAATTTTTTTCATTGGATCCTCGAAAAGCCGAATTATGTTTTGAAAGACATTTTACAACAGAAACTATGCGCAGTAAAACTTGTCTCCAACGTTCTTTTTCTTTTTGAAATTTCATGGTGTAAATCTTTATCAATAGTTTGATTATTATTTAATCTTATTTTTAGTTCATTCCAATTTGTCATGTTAGTCATATGTTCAATACTATTCTCATGATTTTTGAGTCTCTCACTAAGATGCTTCCAATCTCTAAATCCATCATTTGCTAAAGCACTTGTATTGTTATTAGATTTAAACAACTTACAACAAAAACAATATACTTTATCCACATGTTTTGAGTAAACTAACCATTTTTTATCACTAGTTTCTCCATTACTCAACTTTCTAGTATAATAAGCATATGAAAAATGCCTAGAGTTATTATCTAAAGGAAACACAATATTTAAATCTCTTATATAGGCCCCTTTTCAACTAAAATATCTTTTTGATTTATTATCAAGATTAGAGCAATTTCTAGGGTCATAAATATCAAAATAAGGAGTAATTTTTTCATTAGATTGTTCAAGATTATCTACGGTTGGTCTTTCTCAATTTTCAATAGATTGTTCAAGATTATCTACAGTTGGTATTTCTAAATTTTCATTAGATTGTTCAAGATTATCTATGGTTGGTCTTCCTAAATTTTCATTAGATTGTTCAAGATTATCTACGGTTGCTCTTTCTAAATTTTAATTAGATTGTTGATAAGAAGATCTTACTATTTTAATAAATTTATTCATAGATCATTTTTGCGAGTTTATTAACTGCTCAACTTGTTTTTTTTTTTCTTTTTTTTTTTTCACTTACAGATAAATGTTTTTTTAGGCAACATTGTATATAAAAAAAATTATTATAAAATTCATCTTAACAAAAAAAAAAAAAAAGCACATGTGAAGCGTTTGCACTTGTGAATCAGTTAATCAGGGTAAGTTTGACAGTAGGCAGTATTTCACCGTGCTTCTTAAATTAGGGTTTGGTGAGAATGTAGTACTTTCTCCTCCTGCAACAACATATTGTGTAATATTGTTGAGAATGTCAGATTCTCAATGAATGGAATGGTATATCTCATGTTAGAGCAAGTAGAAGGAAAGAAGCTTTATTCATGTTGTGTCTTGGAGAAGCAGAAAGCAAACGTATATATATATAACTGCCTGAAAGGGATGAAAAGTCTAAAATGACCCTTGACTATTTGACTTTGAGGTCCACTGCCTTCTTGCTTCTGCTCACTTCTTGTGCTGATGATCCAAGCTCAATAAGCTGATGATGGCTTCTTCCCTTACTTCAACACCCCCCCGTAAGGTGGAGCATGAAGATCCTGAAGGGCCAGCTTAGCATGAAACACATCAAACAAAGGCTTGGAAAGAGCTTTAGTGAAGCCATCTGCTGTCTGACTATGAGATGGAATTGCTAACAGCTTTATCACACCTTCTTGCACCTTCTGTCTTACCACATGACAATCTATGTCAATGTGCTTAGTACGTTCATGGAAAACATGGTTTTCACCTATAGCAATAGCAGAGTTATTGTCACAAAATAAGGCAACATGATTGTGAACTTTCACTTTCAAATCTGCCAACAAATAAAGGAGCCATTGTATTTCACAAGTTGTTGATGCCAATGCCCTATATTCTGCCTCAGAAGATGATCTAGAAACAGTGGCTTGTTTCTTAGTTTTCCAAGAAATTAGGGAGTTCTCAAGGTAGATGCAGTAACCTGTAATGGATTTTCTGCTTTCAATGCAAGTAGCCCAATCTGAGTCTGAAAACCCCTGCAGTTTAAGGTGAGAATTGGAGGAGTAAAAAAGACCTTTTCCAGGTGATGACTTGAGGTACCTTAGAACCCTGTGAGCTGCAGCTAGGTGGATATCTCTTGGCTTGTCCACAAATTGACTCAGTTGTTGGACAGCAAAGGTGATATCAGGCCTGGTATTAGTTAAATATAGCAGTTTGCCAACCAATCTTCTGAAGACTTCTGGTTGTTTAATGAGACTGCCATCCATATTGTTTAGCTTCTGCCCTGTGGGGAAAGGAGTCTTGGCAGGTTTAGCTTGTAAGAAACCATTTTCCTCCAATATCTCTAGAGTGTATTTTCTTTGACAGATATTGAGACCCTTTGGAGTTCTGAAAGCCTCAATGCCTAAAAAATAGTTTAGATGGCCAAGATCCTTGATCTTAAAGGACTTGTCCAACATTTGCTTTAATTCACTGATCTGAGTGGGATTAGGACCTGCAACTAATATGTCATCTACATATACAAGTAAGGCAATAAAAGAGTCACTTGTCTGCTTAGTGAAAAGGGATGGATCTGATGATGACTGCTGAAAACCATAAGTTTGCAGAGCCTTGGTTAATTTGGCATTCCACTGTCTACTTGCCTGCTTCAAACCATATAAAGATCTCATCAACCTACAAACTTGATTAGGTTTGTCAGTATGGAAACCAGGGGGAGGAACCATATAAACTTCTTCATCTAAGTCTCCATGCAAAAAAGCATTGTTTATATCAAGTTGCTGTATATCCCAACCCTTTGCAATAGCCACTGCTAAGAAAGTTTTGATGGTTGTCATCCTAGCAACAGGAGAAAATGTCTCAATGTAGTCCACCCCCAATTGTTGAGTGTATCCTTTGGCAACCAGCCTTGCTTTATACCTTTCCACACTGCCATCTGCTTTGTGTTTTACCTTGTAAACCCACTTACAACCAATTGGTAACTTTCCTGCTGGTAGATCTGTCAGAATCCAGGTCTTGTTGTGAATCAATGCTTCTATTTCAGTTTGCATAGCAATCCTCCATTCCTCATGTTGGACAACCTCTTTATAGGATTGTGGCTCATGCACAGAAAGGATAGAAGATGCACAAATTCTATGATTGGGAGATAAGTGATCACATGAAACAAATTTCTTGATGGCATGTGGTGAGGTTCTGATAATATCGTCTGTCATGGCAGAATGACACAGGTAATCATGTAGCTTGAGTGGTATATTTCTTGATCTAGTTGACCTTCTAGTCAGTTGTTGCTCATCACATTCATCATGCAACAGATTCTCAAGTTGGATAGGTGGATTATTAACAGAAACTGGCTGTTGATCATTGACAGATGGTGAATAGTTCTCTGAGTCTTCTTCAGCAATTTGTTGGTGATTCACAGGCTGTCCACCAAAATGAATATAATCTTCTTCATCAACATGTCTCCTTGTTGTTTTTGTTGGAGGAACTTCTGTGTCAGCATTAACTGGAATAAGTTGGCAGTGGAGGATTGAAAATTTCTGAGTTGGTTCCACATTCAGTCCCTGAGTATCCATTCTTGAAAGGAAAGACTTCTTCATAAAATTTTACATCCCTTGAGACAAAAACAACTTGGTTAACAACATCATACAATATATATCCCTTTACAGCAGCAGGAAAGCCTAAAAATATGCATTTCCTAGCTCTTTGCTGCATCTTATTTCTCCCTTGTGAGATAGTTGAGGCAAAACACAGACAACCAAAAGATTTGAACTGACTATAATCAACATTCCTCCCAAGAAGCATTTCAAAAGGAGTTGAACCATTTAGGACTTCAGTTGGTAGCCTGTTAATCAGATATGATGAATGTAGTACACAGTGACCCCAGAAACTATCTGACAACCCTGACTGAAACTTGAGGGCCCTAGCAATGTTCATAATGTGCTGATGCTTTCTTTCTGCAACCCCATTCTGTTGGGGTGTATACACACAAGATTTTTGGTGTACAATCCCTTTCTCATTGAAGTAGTACTCATCATAAACTCATTCCCATTGTCTGTTCTTACTGCTTTAATCTTGATTGAGAACTGAGTATAAACATGGTTATAGAAGTTCTGAAATATGCCTTTCACTTCTGATTTATGATTCATGAGGTGTAACCATGTAAACCTACTAAAATCATCCACAATGGTGAGAAAGTAATGTTCTCCTTTCAAAGAAGGCACAGAAAAGGGACCCCAAACATCCATATGTATTAAATCAAAAGCTTTTGCAGATCTGGTAATACTGAGGGGAAAACTGTTTTTCTTGTGTTTGGCAAAATGACATGTATCACATACAAAATCAATAGACTTATGAGGGAAGGCAAGTTTTATTTCTTTCAACATTTTCATTTTATTCACAGGATAATGCCCTAGTCTATTGTGCCACAACTGAACAGAAAGACTGTTACAAAGAATATCAGAAGTGTTGTTGATGTTTCTTTTCTTAACAGGAGGCTTAGCAATCAGATACAACACATCCTCTTCCTTAGCAAAACCATCCACTATTCCAAGATGCCCCTGAATAGTACAAGAGTCAGTTCTCATGACTATCTCACAGTTTGATTGTCTAGTTAATTTACTTGCAGATATAATGTTGAAAGTGAAAGATGGAATGCACAACACATTCTGCAAAACTATCCCCATGTCCAATCTGATATGTCCTATATGAGTAACACTGACTGTGTCCCCATTAGGTAGTTTAACAGAAATCCCATGAATAGCATGACAAGATTCAAAAAATTCCAAAGAGCAGGTAATATGATCTGTAGCACCTGAATCTAAAATCCAAACACTAGATGAATTTAGAACAGCATTGGCAAAGGAGTTAGGGATAAACCTGCCTTCATTGTGATTTTCCACAGGACTTCTGAAATCAGATCTCATTCCATTGTTTGTAACTGTCACAACTGCATTGGTTTGAGATTGGTTTCCTTGGTTCTAACCTTGCAACAAGGTCAGTAGCTTCTGGAATTGTTCAGCAGACAGGCCTGTATCACTGACTTGACTAACAGAGGGATTAAACTGTTGTGCATCTTGAGTCTGTTTATTTTTTGTCTTATAACCTGCAACCCAACCAGGGGGAAAACCATGCTTCTTGTAACATTTATCAACTGTGTGTCCAGTCCTTCCACAGAAGGTACAATTAGGTATATTCTTCCCTGAGTTGCCATTAAATTTCTTCTTATTGTTTGAAATTCCAGCAGCCACAACTGAATGTTCATCTGTACTGGGGATCACAACATTCTGAATGGCATTTGCTTGAGTAAGATCAATAGATTTCAAGTTAATAGAGCTCTTAAGCTTCCTTTCCATTTTCAAGGCCATGTTAAGGACCTTCTCCATGATTGGCATAGGATCCATAACAAGGATTCCTGCCTTGATGTTTTCATATTCTTCATTCAGGCCCTCTAAGAACCTGATGATCTGATCTTCCTCCTTTTCCTTTTGAATCTTACTCATCAATGTACAAGAACACCTAGGCACACACTCACATGCAGGAACAGGCCTCATAGCTTTCAATTGCACCCACAAAGCATTACTCTTAGTGAAATATTCATTAATAGATAGATTACCTTGTGTGCACTTGTAAATTTCGTTCTGAATCTCAGCAATTCGATGAGGATCGACCTGTGAATACCTCTTTTGAAGAACATTCCAGATATCTGCTGCAATCTCAAAGTACAACACTCTTTCTGCTATTGTGGAACTCAATGACTTGAAGATCCATGAGCAGACTATATTATTACACCTCTTCCAGACAGGATATCTAGGATCGTCGACTCCAGGCTTCACGATTGTTCCATCAACGAATCCAAATTTGTTTTTGACTTCAAGCGCAATTTTCATTGCCCTACTCCACGAGGCATAATTGATCTCAGTCAGCGGAGGTGAGACAAGAGCCAGATTCGGATTCTCTGAAAAATGCAGGTACATAGGTTCGTCAACTTCGTCTGAGCGCTGCATCGCACTCTGGTTCATTGGATTCTGATTTGAAGCAGCTCCTGCTTGCTGTCCAGTTGAAGTTCCTTCACCGTTTTGGCTTTCCGTCGTCACGACTGCGGCATAGCTCCGGCGAAGCTCTGATACCATGTTGAGAATGTCAGATTCTCAATGAATGGAATGGTATATCTCATGTTAGAGCAAGTAGAAGGAAAGAAGCTTTATTCATGTTGTGTCTTGGAGAAGCAGAAAGCAAACGTATATATATACTGAAAGAGAAGAAGATGGCAGTTATAACTGCCTGAAAGGGATGAAAAGTCTAAAATGACCCTTGACTATTTGACTTTGAGGTCCACTGCCTTCTTGCTTCTGCTCGCTTCTTGTGCTGATGATCCAAGCTCAATAAGCTGATATGGCTTCTTCCTTTACTTCAACAAATATGTCAATTACAAGTCTTATACTTGGGTTCTGTCATTAAAAAAAGAAAAAAAAAAAAAAACTACTCGACACATTAGAAAAAATTTGTTTACAGTAATTCTAATTCTAATTACAGTAAACAGAATGCACAGAATTGAATTAGGATTTGCAGATCACTGTTTGCACTTGTGAATCAGAATTTGTAAATTGTAGTAATTCAATATGCAAATCCTAATACCCAGAATAATTTTACTGCATTCAATTCTAAATCCTAATAATTTTACTGTATTCAATTATAATTCAATCTGCAAATCCTAAATCCTAATAATTTTACTGTATTCAATTCTAATTCTAATTGAATTGAGTTCATAATTCACTGCATTTAGATTTGTTTAGGATTTAGAATTGAATTGAATATTAGGTAAAATTTTTGTCATAAATCCTAATTCTAATTACAGTAAACAAATCACAAATTATAAATTCCTAATTAACTGCATACTCCTAATTCACTGCATACTAATCAAAAGGCAAATTTATAAGTAGTTGAAATAAGAAAATACCTTTGCAATTAGGGTGTTAGGCCGTGAGCTCGTGAAAGTGAATGGTGATTAGGCGAAGGTGGATTGTGGAAAGCCTAGTGGTAAATGGTAATTGAAGGCGAATTTGCAGATATGGCCTGTGAAATTAAGTGTCGTCAATGGTGGATGATGGATTTGCAGATTGCAGTTTGATAGAGTGTCTAAGTGGATTTGCATATTGCAGATTGCTTCTAACTTCTGAGCTTTTATTGATGACTCCATTTTAACGTTGAGAAGGCTGGCAACGCTTGGACTTCGTGTGGGCGGTGGTGCGAGAGAGACAGAGAATCTGCGCGTCTCTAGTCTCCTTGTCTTCTTCGACTCAGGCCTGGCTTCCTCGCTTCCTTGTAAAGTCGCAGAGACGAAAACAAATAACAAAAAAAGAATTTTTTTTATAATATATATATATATATATATATATATATATATATATATATATATATATATATATATATATATATATATATATATACATATAGCTATAGACTATGGGCCCCTAGGTAGAGGTGGGCCCTGGACAAGGGCCCAGCCTGCACTTGCTCAGGACCAGGCCTGGGGGCACGACCCCCTACACCATGCAGGTGGTTCCGCCCCGGTTTTCGATCAAGCTTCTCAACATTTTCGTAATTAAATATTGGATAATAGGGTGGTTATAAATGGTGGACTTGGTTATTTGCATGAACATGAAAGTTGAATTATTTTCAAAAGTTGAATTGTTTTGAGATAGTCGAATTACTGTGGATTATTTGTTGATTTTTTTGATAGATATCTTTCTAGTAAATGCCTATTTAGTAGTGATGGACTTGATAGGATCTCTAGTGATTGAAATTTTGCTAGTGGCCCTTCTATTGGATACTGGTTTAAACATTTGAATTTAGTGCATCCCTTCCCGCGGTAACAATGTTATTTTTGTCATAAAATAGTCATCTTGGCGGTAGAAGGACGGCTTGCTCGTGAAGAAGGTCATGGTGGGAATGAGGTCCACGCTCCCACTAATGCTCAACTGGCTCAAGGACTTCAGCAGTGACTCAAACTTTGGGTATTACGCTACTTCAGAATGGCAATGGAAACAATGTGGCTAAGAAGGTTGCTAGCCGCAATCCCCATTTTTATGTTGGACAAGAGGATCCTCGTGTGTTGGAGGATTGGATAAGGGCATTTGACAAGTTACTGGATGCTAATGGGCGCTCGACGAATCAAAAGGTGGAGGCTGTTGTGTACTACTTTCAACAAGAAGTAGACATTTGGTGGGCAACTAGTGGTCCGAATCTTAGTCAACGACCTAACTTTGACTAAGCGGTCTTCAAGGCTACTATGAGAAATTGATTTTATCCTGAGCATGTTAAAGTTGCGAAATATGAGGAGTTCTTGCACTTGAGGCAAGACAATTTGTCTGTGCAAGAAGTACCATGCAAAATTCTTATAGCTTGCTCGTTTTGCATCTGTGTTGGTGCCTGATGAGTTTAGCAATACTCAGGAATTCACTAGGGGACTGGCTTTTGGGACCCAAAAGGCGGTTTGTGTCTTTGGATGTCAAATGTTGAACGAGGCATATAGTAAGGTTGCTAATCATTATCGTGTGGAGCGATTCAAAGAGAAGCCAACATGAAGAGTAGAAAGAAAATGGAGGGTTACGAGGAAGGAAAAAAACAAGTGGATAAGAGGCCAAGGTTCAACAATCAACGGCCTAACAAAGGATTTCAAAATAATAGAGGCAATGTGGGCTATCATGATGGTAATGAGCAAGGAGGTCAAGGGTAGAGACACAATTAAATGGGCAAATATATGGAGAGGCACTATTACTGCAAGTTATGTAGAGGTGATCACCTGGAAAAGACTACCAAGGAAACTTGGTACAATGCTTCAAATGCAAGAAGATGGAACATCGAATTTATGAGTGTTACTTGTGAGAAAGTGCGAACCAACATGATCAAGGATCAAATAGTAATGGAGGAAATCAAGGAAGACCTAGATTAAATAATCATGGGGCAGAAAATAGAAATCACAATGTTGGAGGCAACAATGCGAACAAGAATGGGAACAATCAAGTAGTTAATAATAGAAGATAAAACAACAATGAGGGGAGCAACAATTGAGGAAGGATCTCTGTCACGAATAGAGTTCAAGCTTAAGCAAGTGATATAGTTTCAGGTACTTTTCTTGTAAGCGCTTTCCTACTTTGGTTTTATTTGACTCTAGTGCATCTAATTCTTTTATATCCATTGCTTTTCTTAAGAAATTGGGTTTAAAACCAACCTCTAAGATTGACATTAATGTAAAGACTGCATCTGGGTGTGTTGTTGCTTGTGGGAATTTATTTGAAGATGTCTCTATAGTTATTATTGATACTAACTGTCATGGGGACCTTATTCAAGGTGAAAATTTTGTGTATGAATAAAAAATGGTGCTGAAAGGATCGTAAGAAAATCGTATTTCTTATAAAGGAGTTGTTAAACCTGGAGTGAAATTGGTATCCATGCAAAAGACGAGGAGTTATGTAGAGAAAGGAAGGGAAGCTTATTTATGCATGATTAGAGATTTGGAGGTTGAAAAGGGGAATATTAATCAAATATCAATTGTGAGGGAGAAGAAATTCGTGGTATGCCACCCAGTAAGCAAGTGGAGTTTACCATGGACTTGATTCTAGGGATTGCTCCTATTTCGAAAGCACATAATCGTAATACTTGTAAGGAGATGCAAGAACTGAAAGAACAAGTGGAGGATTTGTTGAATAAGGGATATATTCAACCTAGTGTTTCACCATGGGGAGCTCCAGTTTTATTTGTGAAGAAAAAGGATGGAGGATTAAGACTATGCATTGATTATAGGGAATTAAATCAAGTGACAGGAAAGAACAAATATCCTTTACCTCGTATAGACGATATTTTTGATTAATTGAAGGGAGTTGGAACTTTCTCAAAGATTGACTTGCGATTCGAATATCATCAATTAAGAGTGGCTAAGAAGGACACTCCAAAGTCGACATTTTGCACAAGATATAGGCATTATGAGTTCACAATGATACCATTTGGATTGACAAATGCACCTATAGTGTTCATGGACTTGATGAATCGAGTATTTCGACCTTACTTATACCAATTCGTGGTGGTTTTCATTAATGAAATTTTGGTGTATTCTAAGACCCTGAAAGAGCATGAAAATCATTTGAGGATTGTGTTCCAGACACTAAGGGATAATAAATTTTATGCTAAGTTGTCCAAGTGTGATTTTTGGAGGAACGAGGTAGTATTTATGAGGCATATTATTTCTAAGGAAGGAGTGTTAGTGGGTCCATCTAAAGTGCAAGTAGTGATGGAGTGGCCAGTACCTACGAATGTCATTGAAGTTCGAAGTTTCTTAGGATTGCTGAATATTATAGGAAATTTGTGAAGGATTTCTCAAAGATAGCAAGGCCAATGACTAACTTGATGAAGAAGACTACAAAGTTTCAGTGGGATGAAAAGTGCGACGGGGCAATCCAAGAACTTAAGCAAAGGTTGACATTTGCACCAATCTTGACTTTGCCATCTGGGATTGAAGATTTTGAGGTTCATAGTGATGTATCAAAGAAAGGACTTGGATGTCTATTGATGCAAAATGGCAAGGTGGTGGCGTATGCATCAAGGCAATTGAAACCCTATGAAGAGAATTATCCTACTCATGATTTGGAGTTGGCTGCAATTGTCTTTGCACTAAAGATTTGGCATCATTACTTGTATGGTACCGCTTATAAGATTTACACAGATCACAAGAGTTTGAAGTATATTTTCACACAAAAGGAGTTGAATATGAGGCAAAAGAGGTGGTTGGAGTTTTTTTTTTTTTTTTTTTTTTAATATCTAACTGGAAGGGGGAGACCCAAACAACAATTTACACTGGATCATGGGTATTGCGCCAAAGGGGCAACCCAGCCTTATCATCTTCTAGATAGCCTAGGAGCCTATGCATACCATCACTAAAATGTCTTGAAAATTTTGCTAATGCATCAGTCACGTGGTTCTGTTCCCGTGTAATGTAAGAAACATGCCAAAGCTCAAACTTCCGGAGCTCTCTTCTGCATGCTATCAAGATGTTGTGCGCAGATATACGAGGAGGATTACCGCTATTAAGGAACTTGACTACTTCATCTGAATCACTTTCGAACAACACCCCTTGGTTTTTTTCCGTGGTTTTGGGATTTTCCATGTAAATCTTGTGTTCCTTGCGTTGTTATTTATTTTGGGCTATTTGTATTATCTCATATTTGTGCACCATATCGGGTCTGTGATTTTCATTATCATAGGACGTGGAATTTTTCCCAACAAAGTGGTATCACATCACTTATTTTTGATTGGGCAAATTTGACATGGTATGTACGAGACTAGATATTGCTCATGCAATGGGTATTGTTAATAGATTTCTCTCAAAGCTAGGAAGAGAACATTGTGATGCTGTGAAGTAGGTTCTGAGATATCTTCAGTGTACTTCAAGTCTGAGTTTGTGTTTGGTACAGGGAAACATATTCTTACTAGGTACACTGATTCAGATATGAAAGGAAACATTGATACTAGGAAATCTATTGTAGGCTATTGGATTACCTATGCAAGGGTAGCAGTTGTTTGTTGTTTTATCGCCGGGATGACGATATCTTCTACATAGTCGAGAGGGGGAGTTTGTTGGGTTGTGATTCCCTCTTATGTGGTAAATAGTTTATGTTTGGACCAAACCTTTTCTGTATCCACTATATTTTTGTTGAGCCCTAATTATTATTATTATATTATTATATTATTATATTATATATATATATATATATATATATATATATATATATATATATATAATAATAATAATAATAATAATAATATTAAGAATATAAAAAGTTGGGGAAGTAGAAGAGTCATGCATATGAAGAGGTGAAAATTAATTCACATTTACTCTTCGTAATTCCCATGTTCAAGTAGTGAAGCTGTCTTCTCCAACATTGACACACACACATGTTGATTCGGCAGAGAGCAGGCAGACGTGAGGCAAGGCAGTGAAATAAACAAAGATTTCTTTTACTTGTCTCTTTGTCTCCTTCGGTAGTTCGGCAGCAGTGTGTTCGGTGGGTATCATCCTTTTTCGCATGTTTGTTGGTTTTTGCCAAAGTTCTTGGGTGGTATTTTTCATCAAATACTTTTTGAGAGGTCAGCTTGTTTGTTCCAAGCATCTTTGGGTATTCCGTAATATCTGTATTCTTTTCACCTTTACTTGTGGTGGTTGAATATTTTTAAGTACGAGTTGGCATCCTTTTTAGGTCTGTGGAACATTATAGAAGTCTTTGGTCTAGAGTTGTTTTTGATGATCTTTGGATGTTTGGCTCGTGTGGTAGCCGGAAACTTTGTACCCAAAATTTGTTATTGTGGAACTGTTATTGGTGGTGGTCCTGTGATTTTTCCCCGTGGTTTTGGAGTTTTTCACGTAAATCTTGTTCCCTTGTGTTGTTATTTATTTTGGGCTCTTTATATTATCTCGTATTTGTGCCCGTGTCTGGTCTGTGATTTTTATTATCACAAGTGAGATTTTTTCCAACAATAATGTCGGAGTTAAATTAGGACATTTTACTGTATGTAACAGCTTTTAATTTCCAGCTTTGGGTAAAACGAAAATAAGACATTTTACTGTATGTATCTTAATGTATGGTGCTATGGCAGAAATATAGTGTGAAGTTTTGATCATGTTTGTCTTGGAAACTAAGCAAGCAACAAAAGATACGAAGAAAGCAAAATCTTTATCCACATAGGATTGCTCGTAAAGGATATGTGTGTCTGCTAGTGAACTTGTAAGTTGTTAGTCCTGAATGGGTGGCGAAGAGTCTAGAGGACCGCCGGGGGGGGGGGGGGGGGGGGGGGGGGGCGAAGGGGGTGAATAGACTTTTCTAACTTTTATAAGACAAATAACACGTTGGTAATTTCAACTCCATGTAGCAAGTATGAACAACTAATCAACTTAGAGTGTGCAGCGGAATAAGCATGCGGTAAAGTGTTATACTTGATTGTGCAGTGCTCAATGATGAATTCTAAACATGCAACACGTTCAAAACACTTGATATAACTCAAATGAGATGTGTGCAAAGTTTGGCTCGCATGCAAACGTGAGAACTATCAAACCCAGATAGATAAAGATATGCGATCGATAATTATCGGGTTAGTTTGAAGTTATAATAAGCATGCACAAAATAAATGAGCAGTAAGTAAAGTAGAGAGAGAGAGAGAGAGATTTAGAGTGGTCCGGAGATGGTGTAATTCTCCTACTCCACTTTCTCTTTTAACTCTAAAGGAGAGATTCACTACCTTCGTTCACCCAGATACAATAGTGAATCAGTGTCCACCGACACTTCCCGAGTGCTTCGCATAATGCTACACTCCACCAAGATTTTTCACAAGCTCCTCTTGTTACTCCACTCTTACAAGTTACAAAGAACCAAAGTATTTGAAACTCAAACTTGAAAGTATTTCTATGAAGCTTAAATTCCCCTTTTTGGCTAATTTGAATATTGCTTGCTTTTCTCTCGCTTGTGTGCACTTGCCAAAAATTGTTGTTAGTCCTCAAGTCTGATTGGGCAATTTTTAGCCAATGAAAGCTATTTGCATGTTGATCAATTTTCGATATCGATCGTCCATCTTTGTATGTAGTTGATCAAAATGTGCCAACTTAATCTGTAATATTAGGTAGTAGTCTTTCCACCGCTTGTTAGATAATTCAAATAAATTTGATCGTTGCTTGTATGAGGATCTGACGTACCATCCCTTGAAAATTGTAGCCTCCAAAATTTGAATAAATCCTTCACGTGAAAGCTTGACAGTCCATGTTGTACTAATAGATCAAGTTGATCATTCAAATATCTCGTCTGTTGATTCTTGCTTGAGTATAAAATAATTTCTTCGTAAGTCAGCTTTTTCCGAATGCCTCTGGTTCCATTGTAAAAATGCTAATGTTCATCGTCCAGGATAAAATCATATCAATCATTTTCTTCTGCAAAAATGTTGTATTGGAACCTCTGTAGAAACTTAATAATTCTTCTGGTGCATTGCTTTAGTATATGGTTCTTAGAGTCTTGTACTTCGTCTAGTGCACTTGCTTAGTCTAGTTGTGCACCTCGTCTGCCTCCGCCTCGTCTCACTTCTGCCACCTACTCTCATGGCGCCTCATCTAGTTCTTCGCTAAGCGAAACCAGAAATGCTAAAGAGGAGATTCAAATCATGGATCATTTGACTTGCATAGCACAAAGTCTTGATCCAACTCGGCAAACTTGACTTTTGGTGATCTTTGTGCTCTAAAATGTTTTCAGCTATCATCCGCTCAAGTCTTCTCAAGTAAAGTATGCACTTTAGGACTTAAACTTTGACGTGAACATTATGCATGAAGACTACATGTATGCATGAACAGCTACTGACTTGAAATAAAATTGGAGAATACTAATATTTCAACAATACATTTGGCTCATCAAAACTTTACATTTTATTCCTAACATAAGTAATTATGCTCACTTTCACTATTATTACATAAACTCATTTTCACCATAAGTTTGAGATAAAAATTGTTAAATCTTCTTGCCTGTAGTCAACAGAATTGTGTGATGATGCGGAAGTAAATAGAGCTATACTTTGGAAGAAGAGAAGTACAAGGAGATATGTTAAAGACAACATTTTCAACGATTGTAAGCAAAACCTTTACTTGTTTATCCTCTTAATGTATTTGGAAAGATTGTGGTTATCATGGTCATTTGTGATGCATTACATGATGAATATATTAAACAAAAGAAAGAAGGTTTGTTGAAACTTAAAGGAACAAAAGAAGACATCCTTACACAGACTCTTGAATCTAAAAGGGTCGGGTGAGGGCTATAGGAGGACATGTCAATCCCGGGTGTGACG